TAACACAGTTTAACAAAAGCTATACAGTGGTGCCTCAATTTACAAACTTAATCCGTTCCAGAATATGGTCATAACTCAAAATGGTTGTAAGTCGAAGCAAAATTTCCCATTGAAATGCATTGAAATGCAATTAATCCGTTCCGGCTTTTTTTTGGTTGTACCTCGAGGTGCCGGTTGCAATCCGAAGCATTCGTTCCCATAGGAACAAATGCAAAACCAGTTAATCCATCCACTACCACTAGAGGGAGACTTTTTCTTCTTTTCTCCATTGTTCCCTCCCTCCTTTCCTTTTTTAAAACCTAAGTCATCTTAGGTCAAAAGAAGAAAAATTCTCCCCTTAGTGGTAGTGGACGGATTAACTGGTTTTGCATTTGTTCCTATGGTTGGTTTTCCCACCTTTTCCCCCTGCCTTTTTCTGTTCTTATGTCGAAGCTCCGCTCGCAAGTCAAAGCTAAATTTTGCAAGTGGAGCTGTTCGTAAGTAAAAATGTTCGTAGGTAGGGGCATTCGTAAGTTGAGGCATCACTATACTATTAAATTTTGTACAGTACGAAGAAAAATCTATATACTGAAGCAAAGAAGATAGAACTGAGTATATCAATTACTGAATCAGATTCAGAAGTGTCCCCATATTATTTGGAGTCCAGACTGATGAATGCAACATGATGATGACTACAGTAAATCATGCTGCGATTCTTCTTTAGTTTAAAATTGCTGACCCATCTGTTGAAATTCATCATACAGTATCTTAATTTCTATTATATCTACTATGCCTGTCTTAACAGATGTTTGCTGACTATCTTGAAATCCTTTGGATAGCTTCTGGTGCCAAAGTAGTTATTTTTAGACCCATCTGTAAATGCATTTTAAAATGTTGATCTTAGATCAGGAAGCGTATACAGTATTACTGGAACACTCCATAAGAGCCTTCAGCTGTGTTAAATAGATACTAGTAAGACTACACTGGCTTAAATTTCAGCCAGCCATTCAAATATTTTATTGCATCAATTAAAAGATATCAGAATTGTTTCTTAAGGCAAAAGTTTTCATGCTGAGGTAAAATGAATTTTTAAAGGACCAGAATTATATGCATGGCTGTTCTTTGGTTTGGTGATCAGTGCCTCTCATTTTAGGGCCAGTACTACTTTACAGTCGGAGATAGCAGCAATGGCTAGTTTCCCATTTTGCAGAAGTAAGCATGAGGAACTCATCAGAACCACAGATTGAGGGCCCACTGTACTTGCACATTTCTTTTCTGAAAATTGATTCCTTCATTTTGGGAACCTTTTGCCTTTTGCTGGAGTCCCAATTCAGATTGAGGACTCACTGTGTCTACCCTTTTCATTGTTGAAAATAGCTCATTGTATCTATTTTGGCAATGCAGATTGCTGACACAGGAGACTTGAGACTCATTCAGAATCATACTTGACTGTATAGCTTGAAACAGATTTTAGAATTAAATGTCTACAAATAATCAGTTCTATATAATTCATTCATTTTAGGAATCAAGGTATAATTACAATGGTGCCTCGCTTAACAAGTGCACCGCTTAACGACGAATCCGCATAGCGATGCATTTTTTGCGATCGCTAATGCGATCGCATTGCAATGTTTTAGGTGGCAAAACATCGCATTGCGGTGATTGGTAAGCATTTCACTTACCGATCTTCACATTGCGATGTTTTACAAACAGCTGATCGGCGGTTCCAAAATGGCCATTGGGTGCAGAAAATGGCCGCCTGCAGAATTTTTGTGCCCTGCCCTCGCTTACCGGGTGGCGAAAATGGCGGCCGGATGGAGGATTCCCCGCATAGCGGTGAGTTTTTCCCCAATAGGAGCGCATTAAACGGAGTTTAATGCGTTCCTATGGGTTCCCCCCTCCCGCATAGCAACAAATCCGGATAGCGACGTTAATCCTGGAACGGATTAACCACTGTAATTCCTAAATTATTATTATAACTGATGGATAAGTGTACCTGGAACTTCAAAGTTATTTTTAGGTAATTTTACAGATGTGGAACATACTCATTTCTTTTATTTCTATCAGCAGTGCAAAGCTCGGAAGTAACTTGTTAAAAGTAATATTCATTGCAGTTTACCATAACAAGGCATAACAATATTACTTCTTTGTATTAATGCAGTGCTCAGTGTGCTCATTCCTTTTGTAACAAGGCTTGAGATAGCCTTATGAATTGTACAAATCAGTGGTTAGAATGTCAAATAGTTTCATAACTTCCTTTCCTGTTCATACTGTGCATCATGTTTTACTCTGCCTTCACGACAGAAAGATGGATATCACTACTTGGGATGGACAACTTTGGTGGATCCATAGGATGCACATTTCCCAAAAAAGTTTTTAAAACTTGAAAACAAATAAACAAACAAGGAGGTGATCAGAGGTTCACTTTCTTTAAAAAAAGTCCTCATTTTATTTAGATTACCTAAGGTGCTACATATTGGTTGCAGAAGAATCACCACACTGGGAGGTTTCCCCGAGTGGTATTTCTCATTCGCTCTGTCTTTCTTGTAATACTTTCTCCCACTCATTTTCCATCTGTGAATATAAAGGTAGAACAGAATATTGTCTCTATAAAGGAATAATTTTTGTGTTGCTGCATAATATTTAACAGTGGATTGTTATCTTCGTATATCATTGAAGACAAATGAGTGGATATTGGATGTTCTCAAAATTAGCGGCCCATGAATAAATATGCTGAAGGTAGCTTTATGTACCCTGCTACATTTCACTGTACTTTCTGAATATAGTAGGCATGGAAGTTGATTTTGACTTATGGTCACCCTTCCCATGGTTTACTAAGTAGAGAGTACTTAGAAGTGGTTTACCAGTCCCTTCTTTGCATCATAAAGTTAATGGGTCATATTGTTTAGTCATACAGAGATTTTTAGTGAATAGATACAGGGACAGATTTGGGACTAGCATGAGTTGTAGGTATCATATGGTATGTTCTTGGTCATAATTAGAGACATATAAATAAACATTGTAGTGACCAACAGTCTTTTGGTATAAGGTAGCAATTTTTACAGATGCTGGGTTTGAAAATATTGCTGAGTAACAGTATATGTATGGTGAAACTGAGTCAGTGACAGGAACTGCTATTTGATAGCTGAATTGAATGAATCAGTCTTCATGAGGAAAATTCCAACTTTAAAAGGACTTTGTTGGCATCTTAAATCTCTTAACCTTTGAGCCCTTGTATTCTTCATTAGCTTATTCCAAATTCATTAAAACTATTTAGAACTGATTAGAAACTGATTAGTTTAAAATCGGATTTATTTATATACAATTGAAAAACTGATTAACCTCTTGAGAATCCTTGTGTGCTATAAAATAGCATTTAAAATGAGGTTGTTTAAATACTATCAAAATGGTAACACAATAAAATAATCCTGGGATAAGAAAAAAAAGTTTTGAGATAATTTCATAGCAGTATATTGCAGCTGCTTATAACTTTCCTAAGACTCTCGATCAGAGCTCTGACTGTACTACTTTTGTCGTGTGAGTTTTCATTTTGGTATGTGAGCCTTCTGCCAGCGTTTCTGCTCATGTGCCATTTCTCTCTCTTGATTTCTGGTGTCTTTCTTTCTTTTTTGGTGGCTTGCTGAAGTGAACAAATGTTTGTCAATGATTTGCTGTTCCACAACTCTTTGAGTGCTGGCAGATTTATATCGTAGGCTGTGGGACAAAAGGGTTCAGTCCCTATCTTTGCCTTTGCAGTTGTAGGCTTCAAGCTGGTTGGCTACAGCTCTGTTGTTCCTGAATGCCATAAATACATTTGCAGAAGACTTCTTAAAAAATGGATTCTGATGTGATCTGTCTGGTAGATCTGGACTGCAACTGAATGCACAGTATCGATGCTTGATACTGATACTACGCAACAAGCTTGATATTGGATTTAATAGCTCTCAGACTTTTCTGGCTGTAAGATCTGCATTCACTGAGTAAAATATAGAGTTTCACCCAGTGAAATGATGAAACGAAGAAGAGAGCGATTTGGAGCCCCTTCTCTACGGATCCAGTAAGGACTGTTTTGGAGAAATAGATTTTCTTTAATTAGTTAACCTTTCAGAATGAACCAGGTAGTTTTGAGTCTGACTGTGCTTATACATTCAATGCAGTTTTATCTTTTTCTCCAGTCAAAACGCCTTCCAGAGTGGCTGACATACAATTGGTAAAACAAGATAGTCCCTGCCTGGATAAATCCATATTTCCATTTAGCTTTTAACAAGAAATGTTCTTATATTTGTCCAGTTTCTTATGTGTAGAAGCAATTAATGTTAAGTACAATGTTATATTATACATAATGGAAATAATTAGTTGTTTCATTTGTATTCATTCTAAAAAAAGTAAATATTGAGCTGTTGAGCTTATATTAAAAATTACAATTGTAGAGCTTGTAACTACTTAATATTGTCAAATAATAGAGATGCTGAAGTCTAAGTAAAACTTACCCGGATTTTCTCCATTGATGAACTAATATACTGTAGAAACTTTTTAAATATTCCAAGTTCCAGAAGTTTGCACATAACCAGTCTTGCATTTTAAAAATAAATTAAAAGTAAAGTTTGTGATTAAAAATTGCTGGTGAGCACTAGCATGGAGGAACTACTTAATATTTCCTTCACTTAAAAAGCCCCAGGTCTTACAGATTGTGGTCCATGATTCAAAGTGATGTTGAATAATAGCAAACTGTACCATTAAATGTGAAAATGATAATGGAAGATTCTAAGTCAGTAGCTCAGAGTTTAGCAGTCAATATTTTCATGTGATCTAGGGTTTACGCAGATATTTGGGACTGATATATAGCTGTTTTACTTTTAATGTACAATTTCTAATTGGGATACAAAACTTAATTTGGCTTCAATAGTGCTTGTATTTAGGAGCTGATGTGCTATTTGCCATCCACAGCTTGTTTTTTTTTCTGAAAAAAAAAAAGCTTAACAGGATTGACACTGACTCTTTTTATTATGGTACTTTGTCAGAATCTCCTCTCCTTTCCTCTCACACTGCCGAGGAAGTGATGTCCATCAGCACGTGTTTTCTCCTACGTCTGCACCTGGTCTGCAGCATCTTAAAATCCCACTTAGTGCTGATTGTGCCCTTGCTACTTCTCCTCTAGCGTTTTATCTCAACCCACAACCTCAGAGTAATCCTGGTAGCCCATGCTACAGCAATCCACTTCAGTGGAGGTAAGCAGACGTTTAAATTAGGACTGTCTGTTTAATACAGTCTTGCTTAACTGTTTGTTTGGATTGTTTAAAGAGTCAACTTACAGTTTTAAGTTACTGTCTATTGCACATAACCAAACATCTAGAGTAGTGCTGGGCCAAGTGGAGCTCCCTAAAATTCCCACACTAAGCTAAAGGAAAGCACCGAAAGGCTATTTTGTCCCTTATGAACTGTTGTATGCCCAAAATAGCTTCTTTTAAAAAATCCTGAATGTGCCCAGAAGTCACCTGGTTTGGAGAAATTAGTAACTATGACTCAACAAGGTTCAGAGTAGAGTGAAAATGCCCTTTGCCACATTATTCCAGTTGATCTCCAATAAAGAAGTCAAAATGATTATCTTCCCAAATAATAAAATATTTTCAAAAACGTTTGTATGTGAAGCTGAAACAGTAGTCACATGTGTATCTGCTATGATACCCTATGTTGATTTAACTGGTTTCCTGTGAATCTCTAAAATGTAAGTCTAAATGTAGAAGCATTAGGGCTGTTTTCTGTGTGGTTGTCACAACTATAAGGGAAGCTATCCACTTTTTTTCCCATATAGAGCCCTAGATACTGAAAATATCACAACAGGGCTGCTGATCCCTCTGTCGGGCAGTTGTTCCTCCTATATGTCTGAGCTGATTCCTTGGTGACAAACATATTTGCTTCTTGATGGTCTCAGTGGCTGTTACCTACTCTGTTTCCCCCAAAATAAGACCTAACCTGAAAATAAGTCCTAGTGTGATTTTTTCATGATGCTCATAATATAAGCCATACGTACTCCAAAATTAGCCCTAGTTAAGTGAACCCCCTCCCTCCACCATTGTGCAGCAACCAGAAGAAGCTGACATAGCTGTATTTGAATAAATATAGATTGTTGTACTGAAAACATTAAAATAAAACATCCCCTGAAAATAAGCCTTAATGGGGTTTTATGAGCAAAAATTAATATAAGACCCTGTCTTATTTTCGGGGAAACACTGTAGTCACTTTGACCTATGATGTCAGATAGTTTTGGGAAAGTTACAATGGACTGCAGTTTAGACTGCAATTCAGTCTATTTGTTGCTCTATTCAAATAACTCGTGCTATTGCAATGTAGCATTTGTTTCCGTCGACAGGAAATAAGCACTTGATAGCCTAGTGAACAAGCAATGACAAAGAGAAAGGATATGTATGTGACATGTTCTTTACACCCAGGCTGTCTTGCTACTTCCATGTGCAGTGGAAAATGCTGTTCTGTTACCAGTCTTGAATTAATATTCAGTTACAAGCCTGGTTGGCTTCTTTTTGTTGAAATGAATAAGGAAGGGAATGCTACCCTCACATCAGACAGCAAAGTTCCTTTGGTTATTTCAGTGTTTAGTAGCTCTACTCCATTCACTGCATACAGACTTGAGGAAAGTGAGTAAATATAAATCAGAGTAAAAATTTTCTCAATCAAGGGCTTATCAGCATTTCACCCTGCATCCCAAATACAGTAGGTATTGCAATCTCTTCTGACAAATAAGAACAGATTCTTGGGAGTCTTATTTCCTTTAACTGGCTCTTTTTAATTTTTTTGAAAAATGGCACGGAGGTCAGGTTCCTTTTTTCTGTCCATATTTGTAAGCTCAAATCACTGTCTGGCATTTAGAAAACTATGTTTTATCATAATATTTATGATTTAATATTTCTTAATGTTGATTTTAAGAAAATCTGTACTCACCATTCCTCTTAATTATTACATTTGCATAGAGAGTAAAAACATAAACAAATGTGCAAATGTGCCAGTCTTTCAAATATCTGATGACTTTGTTGTTAATACTGCACTGTGAAGTTTTGAGATTAGGATGACAGATGTGTTCAGAAGGATAGCTATGCTTTAAGTAGTGCTAGGACAACAAACTCAACATGGCAACGTGTGAGAAGATCAAAAATAGTTCTGTGCTGAGTTGTATGACTGTAAAAGTTCCTTTTTATCATGAAGCGGATGTTCATTTCCTAGTATCCTTTCATATGGATTATTGCAGTGTATTATATGCGGGCTGCCTTTGAAAAATAATTTTAAAACTTAATCTAGTTTAAAACTTGACAACTAAGGAGGCTAAATTATTATTGGAGATCAATGCCAATTCTCTGCTGTCCGTCCATACTTACATGCTTACTTACCCACCAAGATTCCCTCAAAGGTACATTCAACTCTGCCTCCCTCCACACAGCTTTCCTCTTCCTGCAGTGATTATTTTCAGCCCCTTTGGTTTTGGTTGTGGCACAACCCCACACGTGGGGTGGAGTCACATGCACACACAGGGATGATCTTGCACATGCAAGAGGTGGAGCTCTCCCCCCAGCGGGACAGAAAATTAGAGAGTACATAGCTGCCCACATACAAGAACATCACCTGAGCAGTAAGTAGGTTGGGACAACTGGGGCTTTGACCTGGAAAGTGTAAAAATTTGCTACCCAATATGCATGAACTTATCCTCTCTGAGCGTGTATACTATCACAAACAGCTCCTCCCAGGAAAAAAAACACACACACAAAATTTGTGCTACAGTAGCTCTTCTTTGTGAATGGACCAGGTGGGCTAGCCTTCACTCCCCATGTATATCAGTGAGCCTTGGGTACCCTCAACCCTGATGCCGATTCATTGGTTGTCCCTCCTTGCACCACTTTTGTAGGTACTAACCACTACATACCACTCCACAAGACTTGGTGTTTTCAAGATTCTCTGACCCAGTTATCTAGCCATTATTACTTAGCTTTTGTCAAAGTCACTCAGATCTTTTTCACTTGCCCGTATTTCCTGCTTCCAACACATGAACGCCAAGAACTGACTGTTCACTTGCTGCTTGATATATCCCACCACTTGACAGGTGCCATTGTAATGATGTAATCAGTGCTATTCAGTTCACCTGGTTTTAATGTTGTGGCTGATAGGTGTATGTCTTAATGTGCTGGGGGGATTTGAGTGTGTCAGGAAAGTTTAGGGCAGTGCCCTCAGGAGGTTAGACTTTTGTTACAAGTCTGTATTGTTTGCAGAGTGCCCAAAGTGGAATGGTCAAAGCCGGCTAATATGCATCCATCCTCTTCAGGAATTAAGAATCATATCAGAAGAGAATTGACAGTTCTAAAGCTATAAGGACAGAGAAATTCTTGAAAAGGAACCATTGAGTGGCAGAAGTAGTGGAAAGTGACATGGCATAGGCAACAGCTATACAGTTAACTATTAGTATTGTGCAGAGGAAGATACAGTACATCTGAATATTTTATACCTCAGAAATACTATGATAATACTGTGAATTTCGTTGTATGTGTATATACTTACAATGACAATAAATTATTA